GGATTTAAGGGTGGGTCCCAGGCGCCCCACTGCACACCTGCCTGGGTTGGCTGCTGCCTGGTACACCCTGTCCCCATTCTTTCCTCCCTGAGGACTGGCCTGCTGGTCCTCCAATTAATGTTTTTCTAGAAACATTCACACACCTTTTATTATAGTACAGTTATTATTTTTCTCAGCTATTGTTGTTAATCTCTTCCTGTGCCTGATTTATCAATTAAACCTTATTGTATGTATGTATAGGAAAAATCATGGCAGGCACAGCAGCAGCTAAGAACTGGGATTAGAACTCCGGCTCCAGTTCGTGTTCCATAGATGTCTGAGTGTCTGATTCCTGCTGTCACAAATGACTGTGAACTTACTGGCTTAAAACAACACACGTTCAGTACCCTACAGTGCTGGAGGTCAGAGGTCTGAAATTGAGATGTGGACGGGCCGGTGCCTTCTGGGGAGGTTCCATTTCTTGGCCTTTCCCAGCTTCCGGAAGCCACCTGCGTGCTTGGCTCAGGGGCCCTTCACATCCTGCCCTTCACATCTGCCTCCCTCCTCACACCTCCTGCTCTGACCCTCCTGCCTCCCCTTAGAAAAACCCCAGTAATGATGCTGGGTCCACAGGGTGACCCAGGGTGACCTCTCCATCTCAGGTTCTTCACTGAATCCCATCCCGAGCCCCTTCTGCATGTCAGGAAGGTCATGCCAGGCCTTAGGGTTGGGGACTGCACACTCTGGGGTTGGGGAGGCGGAGAGTCTGCAGACTGCACAAGGAGGGAAACGGCTGCACATGGCCCCGTGCCTTCTTGCTTTAGATCCTCCCTGGCTCCTCCTGCTGCCCCAGATGGCCCTCAGGCTCACCCGGGTGTCACTGCAGCGCCAGTGGAAACTCCTGGGCCTGCAAGGCTCCGACTTCCTCATCTGGCAGCTCTGCCGATCTGTCTGGGCTGCAGCTGGGGCTGCTTCCCTTTACAGGAAGTCCTCCCCAGCCTGCCCCATGCTTGTGACCTCCTCCAAGGAATGTTTCTCAGAGATCCCAGGGGTTCCCAGGGACCCATGGGAGGGGAGAGAGGACAGGATCCTGAGAACCTGCCCTGAGTGGGTGCACAGGTGTCTCCAACCTGCAGTCACTCAGGGTTCCGTGAAGGTGCTGAGATCAGTGTTGCTGGCCCTGGGCACAGCCACTCATACCCATTGTTGCATAGGAAACTCAATCAACTCCAAGGTCCCAGAGTCCAGCTGTTGGTGGGCAGTGTGTGCAGTGGTGAAGGACAGCTCCACAGAGGGGCCAATGGTCTGGCTTTGAGCCTTTAGTCTCCACTTGCTCACTCGTGGTGTGACCTTGAGTGAGTTACTTAGCCTCTCTATGCCTCAGTCTTCCTGATGAGTTAAGGTCCACTTATGTGGGGCGGAGCACAGGCGGCCACCACTATGTCAGCTACTCATCATTTTGCCCTTGGTGGGGGCCACCTCTGGGCCCTCCCATCCCCATCCCCGTCTCCCCAAGGTTCTGCACATGCCATCCCTCACCTGGGCATCTCTTCACTTTCCCTGGCCTTCCTGGCTGAGTCAGGGCCTGTGTGGCTCATCCCAGATCTGATGGCCCCGTGTTGGAACTGCCTGGTGACATGTCCCTCTCCTTGACCTCCCACCCACCCTGAGGAAACATGAGCCCTTGAGGGCTGGAAAGGGGTGAGGGCCTTGGCCACTGCTTTGTCCTCAGCACTGACATGGGGCCCAGAACACGGTAGTTGCTCAATTAATATTTATTGACTGTGTAAAGCAAATACAGGTTGTAAACACAACTTCCACCGAGACCTCAACCCCTAGAAAGGCAAGAAACCAGGGTAGCAAAATGGAGTGGTCCTTATTGTACAGCTGGAAGTGGGTGGTGGTCCCCTGGAGAGGACAGGGCTGCCCAGCAGTTGCCGGGAGGAAGGGGCAGTCCAACTTGTAGATGGGCTCCTCTGGGGACAGTAGCCCCGGGAGCAGGGTGCCTTATCTGCAGGGTACCCCAGCTCCCACAGGCTTTGGAGTGTCAGGCTGAGAAGCGGGCGGGAGGAGGCCGCTGGCTGGGGGTGCAGAGACATCACAAGAGCTCTCGCCTGCTGGCTGTCTTGTTGACTTTGGTCAGGCCTTCCCGGAACCCAGAATCCGTCATTCTGGGGGCAGACAGCAGAAAAGGCCGTCGGGGGCTGAAGGGCGGCAGGCCTGCCCAGAGCTGCCCCAGGCCTGCCCACTCTGCTTCGGCCACCCAGGCCCTGCCCCAAGAGCAGTCCTGGCCCGCCACTCCACACCCAGGCCCACCCTGGCTGACCCTCCAGTGGGCCTAACGCAGCCCGCGTCAGCCGTGGCCCCCACCCCATCCCAAATGGTCTTCACCCACTCAGCCTGCCGGAGAGCTGGGAGCCGAGAGCTGAGCGGAGCCCCACCCCTCGCCTGGCCCCGCCCCCAGACGCCCTGGCCACACCCACTCAGCCGGCCTACACTTGCTCCATCTGAACGTCCTCCTCATCCTCCTGGGGCAGCTGCAGGTACGGGTTGTCCCCAGCTGGCTGGAATTTGTAACCCGTGAGCACAAAGAAGGCAAGGGTGGAGCCCTCCACCAAGAGCTGGGGACAAGGGGCAGAACGAAGGCGTCAGGCACCCCCCCACACACTGTAGGGCCCGCCCCCAGGCCCACCCTCCCTCCAACCGAAGCTTCCCCAGGGCTCACCTGGTACAGCCACTGCCACTGGAAGGGCACTGCCACCCGCAGGAGAATGGCAATGATGCGAGTGAAGTAGACGTAACAGATGACCTACGGGGGCGTGGCAGGCATGGGACAGAACAGATTAAGACCACTGGGGTGGACAGAGGGTGGGGTGGGTGCCAAGAGGCTGGTGGTTCCGGGCCCCTCGCCAGGGCCTCCCCATGATGAGGGCAGACCTCTTACCATGACATAGTAATGTCGGAACAGCTTCAGCTTGGCCAGGTTCACTGCCACTGGGAGGTGCGCACAGACAGGGGGGTCAGGGGCCACTGAGGGCAGGACCAGGGGGAGAGGGGAGGGGGCAGGAAGGACACCCGGGGGAGTGTCCCAGGGCCAGAAAGTCTGGAGAGGAGGCTGGGGGTCAGGAGGTGGGAGGTGACAAGCAGAGAGAAAGGAGGCGCCAGGCAAGGGGAAGAGAGGCCCACGGGGTGTCCAGGGATGCAGAGGCCAGGAGTGGGCAGAGTCAGGAGGGGCATCCGGGGGCAGAAAGAAGGGCTTGCAGCAGGAAGATGGCTGGAGGCCGGGGGCACAGTCCCGGGAGCAGGTCTCACCCTTCCCGTCGGTGTCAGACGCATCCTGGAGATGCCGGATGGACCTGGGACGGGGCAGGGGACAGAGGGCAGTGAGCTCTGACAAGCCCACTCCTGTAGGGAGCAGGATCTCGGCAGTCTGGGTCCTCACCAGACAACTGGGAAGAGGATGGCGCCACAGCAGATGAGGTCCACTAGAAACAGGATCTCCTTCCAGAGCCCGTAGTCGCTGGCGCCCTCCTCGCGGGACTCGATGACAATGTACGCCACGTTGGCCAGGACCTGCATGGCCAGGCGGGTAGGTGGTCACCTCTTGACGTACCCTTGACTCCTGTGGGATGTGAGCTCCCACCTCGCCACCAGGATATGCCCCCTGCCCTCCTCTGATGGCCATGGCACCCCCACCCCACCCCCCGGGAGCCGTCCCTACACACCTGCAGGGGGATCACAACCCCAAACACCTTCTTCTCCTTGTCAGACAGGATGTACTTAATGAAGGCCCAGCCCGAGCCGATCAGAGCGATGGTGATGAACAGGAGCGCTCCCTTCAGCCTGGGGCACGGGCATTTGATGAGGGGGTGCCTCCCCTGCCCACTTCCCCCTGCCCGCCCCGCCCGGCAGAGGGGGCACTCACAGGTGTGTGATGTAGTGCACGACAGCAAGGCCTTCGATGGGGTGGCCCTGGCTGTTGATGAAGTAGTAGTTGATCTGGAGGTGGACGGACAGGTGGACAGTCAGACCAGGGGATGCCTGGGTGGGTGGCTGGTGGGGGTGTTGGGGACATGGGTGATCCCATGGGATGGGTGTAAAAACTTGAACGGTTATAATCAGGATGGGGGGGGGGGGACTCAACAACGGACAGTCATCACCCACAACAGCAAAAGGACAGGCAGAGTTGGATGAGTAGATGGCCAGGCAATCGGTGATGTGGACAATCATAGTTGGACCAGGGGACAGTCAGACTGGAGAGTGGACAGTGGGAGCTGGACAGGACAGGCAGACAAATGAGATGGGGAGACAGCTGCAGAGTTGGACACCCAGGCCTGCAGAGCTGGAGGGAGCCTGGAGCGTCCCACCTTCCCGGCCCGCCCCTCGCCGCCTGGCCTGGGCGCTCACACTATGGAAGAGGAGGGAGATGCTCTTGGTGAACGCCAAGGCCGCCATGAGCCAGTGGATCTTGAAGACATTGTACCTGGCAGAGGGTTGGGGAGAAAGGGCAGGGAGAGCGTCAGTAGAGAGTAGGGATGGGTTGTGGCGGGAAGTGGTGGTGGGTGTGGACAAGGGCATTACGTGTTCCTGCAGAGCACGGACACCCAGAAGATGCCAGCCGCCAGGAAGCAGGCGGACATGATCAGGTACAGCTTGAAGAGGGGAATTTCAGCAGCAGACAGGAAGCCATCGGGGTTCTTCTCCCGGATCATCACCTAGGGAGGGGCAGATGGTCGCAGGGCCTAGCTCTGGACTTGGGGAGCCAGTACGGCAAGTCTCCAGCTCTCCTACTTCTGGCTGGGAAACTGGTCTCTGAGCCTCAGTCTTCCCCCATCTCTCCAGTGGGTACATAGCCATCCCTTGGTATTCCTTGAGGGTTTGGTTCCAGGACCCTGGTGGACACCAAAGACTGAGATGCTCCAGTCCCTTATGTAAAATGGTGTAGCATCTGCATAGAGCCTCCCACAGACTCTCAGTCATCTCTAGATGACGCAGTACCTGGAGCAACATGCGGCTGTGCCGGATTGCTTAGGGATTAAGAACAGGGAAAGTCTATGTACTTGGCACAGATGCAACGTTTTCCCCTAACGCTTTCAATCTGCGGTTGGTGAATCCTCTGACGGGACATGGAGGGCCGGCCATACGGGTGCTATTTCCCACCACTGCCACCAGGAGGATTTTAAGAAGTGACACTGGGGTGGTGCTCCTGGCCTGTGGCAACCACAGCAGCCAGCTGCTACCCCTCTGCTCACGGTGATGTCAAATGGACGCTCCCGGCCAGGCATGGAGTTGTAGCAGTTGTGGAAATTGAGGTTGTACTGGCCTTCCTCTGCCCTGGAGCCGATCACCACGTGGAACTGGGCAGGGGAGAGACGAGCTCAGCCTAGGGTCCCCAGCTGTTGGGGGAGGCCAGGCTGCAGGCACCACACACACTTACGCTGAAGTTGTAGGAGTTGTTGAGGTGGCCCAGGCCCAACACCAGCTCCTTGTCCTTCCCATTGGGGTCCTGAAGGGACAGAGTCCCTCCATCAGCTGGCCTTTCCAGATGGCCCAGGCTCGGGTCCCCATGCACCCCTGGGCTAGGCCTCTCTCCCTCCCACCCTGGCTCACCGAACCTGAGACACTGCGAGTTTTGCCTTGGCTTTGTTGACTGTGGAGGTTCCTGTAGGAGACAGATGAGTGATTTTAAGAGGAGCAGTCAGAGGGACAGCAAAAAGTAGGGGGATCCACAGTGTGACCCTGCCCATCTTCCTCCCTGGCAGGCAGCCTAACTCACCACTGTCTGCTTCGGGGGTGACTGTGGGCTCTGGCTTTGGAAGCGCTGGTTTGGAAGTCTCTTCGGGGAGAAGCCCAGGAGAGATGAACAATTTCTTCTGCTCCCCATATTTTCGTACCTGGACCCTGGGGTGAGAAGCACGGGCCTGAAGCCTGGGGTCAGGCACACACCTGCACTGAAGGACGAGAGCCCCTCAGGCGCTCTGCATCTCCTCCCCGGGGACAGCACCTGGCTGAGCCTGGGGTCACCAGGTTGACCCCAGCATGAACCATCACCCATCAGGGCGAACCCCTCACTGCTCTGCTGGCTGCACTGGCCACTACCCGTTCCTCCAACCGACTCCTGCATTCCATGTTAGCACCTCATTTTGTACCCACAGTGAGGCAACATGATGTCGAGAGTCCCTGGCACCCGGCTGCCTAGGTCTGAATCCCAGTTCTTAAGACTCAAGTTTTCTCCTCTGAAGAATGGGCATAAGCACAATGGAAGGATCAGTGAGTTCACACATGTTAAAGCTCCCGGGGCACCTCTTGGAGCGCAGGAGGCACTCAGCAAGGATGACGGCCTGTAATGCTGCCAGTCTCCCAAGCTGCACCTGGTCTTCTGCTGAGCCCCCAACATTCCCTGAGCACCTCCCTCTCCTTCCTCCCAATCATCAGAGGCTTGAAGCAGACACTGGACGGTAGTGGCTTCTCCCAGGAGACTCCAGGGTCTTTTGAGCTCCTGTTCCTCCTGATCAGCTCGGCACATGTGGGTATCACACTCAGGAAACCCTGACTTGGATCTTTAGCCAGTCGTGCCCCAACTCACTGCAGACCCTTGGTGTCGATGAGGAACAGGACCAGGAAGCTGCTACTGTTTCTTTGTAGAGGACAGTCATGGTAATCCCGGGTCTGGAGAGCAGGCAAGAGGGAGCAGGGGTTACCTCTTCCTATGGGTTGGTGCAGCCCCACCCTGTTTACCTCCCTCAGGTCTCTTCTTGTCCCCACCTCTGGGGAACAACCAGGGACTATGGGTTCTAGAGGCAGGAGACAGACATCCTCCAGTCCCCAGAGTCCCTCCTTCCCTCCCCACCCCTCCACTCACTGAGTAGGAGCGAATGCCACCAGATCGAACCCGGCTCAGACTGAACCCCACCTGGTGGGTGTAAACAAAAAGGGAAGATGTGAGGGACTCCAGGAGGGACCCCGCAAGCCACCTCTTTCCCAGCAACAGAAATGTGGCTTCACATTTACTGAACATCTACAGTGTGCCCAGATCCCACACTCTTTCTCTGAGTTTCCCAACAACCCATCTCTCCCCCGTCCTCTTCCTTCATCTCCAGCCATCACATATCTCTCAATCTGCATGTCACTTCCTCAAGGAGAACTTCAACAGCTCACCCTGTTTCCCACAAATTAAAATGTTGATGGGTTTCTGCTCTGGGCCCTGGGAGTTCACACCAGGACCTGACATGAAGCTCTGTCTTTTTCAGGGTGTGTGATTCTGAGCAAGTTCTGTACCTCCCAGCTGGGGCCATCCCCTGAAACCTGGATTCAGTGAATTTCCACAGCATTCCTGAGAGGTAGTTAAGAGGGAAGGAGTCCAAAGAGACTGCTGTGCAGAGGACCTGGTCCTGGTGGAATCAGTAGATGCTAGTCATTCACTCTGACTCCCGGGACTGGGGCTGTCTTGCTCACTGGTGTGCCCTCCCCTCCCATTAAGAACAGTGTCTAAGTCAGGTGTGATGGCCTGTAATCCCAGCTACTCGGGAAGCTGAGATAGGAGGATTAAAATTTGAGGCCAGCCTGGACAATTTAGAGAGATCCTGTTTCAAAATAAAAAATAAAAAAGGGGCTGGGGTGTGGTTCAGTGGTAGAGGGCTTCCCTAGCATGCACAAGGCCCAGGGTTCCATCCCAAGTACTGCAATCAAAAAAAAAAAAAAGAGAGAGAGAGTGCCTAGCATATATCACATGAGATATTATTATTCCCAGGTGACAAGTGAAAAAACTGAGGCTCAGAGGCCAAGGGACTTGCCCATGATCACATGAGTGAGGGGCAGAACTAGAATGGGAATCCAGAACTGGAGGAGGAGGGGTGAAGCTTGTGCACCCAGCCCTCTTCCAAGCCCCTCACCAAGGGGGCCTTCTCGTCTGTCTCTTGGAGGTCCAGCCGTAGGAGCCTCAAATCCACTTCCAGGGAGCCATTGGTGTAGAACCCGAAACTGTTGAGCTGGATATCTGCTCGCTTCTCCCCCTGCCGGACACCAAGGAGGTAGAAACAGCTCAGACTTCTTTGTACCAGCCCAGCCCCAAGGCTCTGGCTGGACGTCTCCGTGCCTCCCAGTCCTCTTTACTTAGGACAGGCCTAGAGGGTGACAAGAGAGGATGTGAAGACCTCTTCGCAGGGTGTGTCCCCGAACCACTCCAGGACAGGGACAGGGTGGCCCTGGATTTTTCAACTACAGTTCTGGTAGTCCAGGAAGAGAAACGCTGGGGCAACTGGCCCTCACTGGCTGAGAACCACTCTGAAAGTAATTATTCATCTCAGTGCGCCTGGCCTTCACCTCCTGAAAACTTTCAGATTCCAACTGGAACCCCAGAGGGCTGAGATTTCGGCTAATCCCCCAAGATCCCAGCGAATGTCCCGAAGATCCCACTCGAGAATCCTCAGAACTTCCTCTGAATGGCACCAAGGGACCCCAATGTCCCCCAAAGTGAGCCCAAGAACTTAAAAGGGCTTAGAGCGAAGGGTCCCGAGAGATAGAGCCCCAGCCCCATCCGCAGGCACGACTCTAACGTGGCTGACCAGGTGACTCGTCACCAATACGGAGAGATTCTGGGACGAAACCACTCCGAGCCTACAAGCGGGGGGGCGTCAGACTGCTCCATCCCGCCTCAGGAGGGGGGAGGATGGACGAGACCACTCCAAGCCAGGGGCTTCTCAGGGGCAAAGTTGCGCCCCGCCACCCCAGTCCGCCGCGCGGCGGGTCTCACCGTCAGCGCCAGCCGGTGGATACGCCCGGAGCAGCCGCCCAACAGCAACAGCAGAAGGAGCCGCTGCCCCCACTCTGCGGGGCTCCAGCGGCCGAGCCCCCTCCTCTCGCTCACTGCCATCTCTGGAGCTGCCGCCTCCCCTGACACCGCCTCTGACGCCCACAAGCCCGCCTACCAGCGAACCAATCGCCGCACCATGGGGCCGAACTCTTAGGAGTTTCCAGCCCGCCCAACCAATCAGCTATCATCTCCTTGATGGACCGCGCCTATGCGACACTAGATGGACAGCACTACCTCCGAATAGGAGTACTAATATCCCTTAACCCCACCTCCACTTTCACCAATCACTAGAAAGATTGTCCCGGATATAATTTGATAAACAGTCCGTCTAACCAATTATCCTGGACCTGATATCCGGCCCTTAAAGCGGAATTCCTTGACCTAACTCTTAACGGTCCAGGACTACATTACCCAGAATTCGGCGGACGTAGACGCACTGGACAAGGAGTAAAAGAACTACGTTTCCCAATATCCCCAAGGACAGACTTCCGCTTCTTACTCTGGGGATGTGGCTCCCAGCCAGAGCTTAGGCTTTGGGTAAACACACGCATCTGTTGAGGCTGTTCTGTTCTCCTAATCTTCCTGGTCCACAGAGAGGCCAAAACCTCGCCCTAGGTTAAGTCTTGACCCTTGGATGACTCGTGACCCCAGGCTGAGTCTCCAATCTTAGACTAAGCTACGGTCCCAGAGTGAAGTAATTGGAGGTCCACCTGCAGAATTCAGGCTTAACCCCTTGCTGCTGCTGAAACTCAGCTTTAGCCTGAAACCTTGACCCTCTCTCACACCCTACCAAACCCGAACGTCCCGCTCCCCGTGCACATTGAGCCTTAATCTCCGGCTGAGCCCCTGGTCTGTATAGGCCAGCCCTGACTCCAGATTAGTCCTTACTCCTGGACCGTAGTTTCAGTTCCTGATCCCTAACTGCATTGCTGAAACCTCTGGTAAGCTTTCTACTCCAGTCTGAGATCCCATCCCAACCATGGGGCTAATCTGGGCTGAATCCCAAATCCAGTTTGAGTCTCTGACCAGATTTGAGCCAGAATTTTGCTGGGCTGGGCCCCAGTCCCTGACTGAGCCACTGAATCCCACCTTGCAATCAAAGGGTTTCTAGCCCAGAAGCCACCAGAAGCTGGGGCCCAGTCCCAGAGGAGCCAACAACTCCAGTGTAGGTTGGGAGCCGTGACACGGGAGGAGATGGGGGGGGGGGGGCAGATTCCTCCTGCAGCCCCATCTGGGCGTCTGTTATCTGTGTGGCCAATGGAAGAGTGCCAAATGGGTGGCACCATTGGCACTTCTTCCCAGAGCCTCAAGGGGATTTACAAGGTGTGAACCGACTTTTATGGGAGTAGGATACAGACTTCCAAGCCCCAGGGCTCCAGTATCTAGGGGAGGGGCCTTGTTAGGATCCTAGGATCAGTAATATTAATGAAACCTGATTGGGCTCATGGATGAGACTGGAAAATGGGGTGGTGCAAGCATGAACTGCACTGGAGCGGGGGAGAGGCCTGGGACAGGCGCCCCAAGGACAGTTCGCCCTCAGTTTCCCAGTGGAGACTCTGGAGGAGAGAATGCAGGATGCGGTGGGGGCGCTAATGGACCCGGCCTTGGCGGAGGCACGTCCTGGGCAGGATCGAAGTCCTCCCATCCGTCCTGTGGCCGGAGGAACCAGACCATTAGTGGGACAAACGTAGACGCCTGGAGCCGGGTCGTCCCGCAAGAGCCGGGTGACCTCAGGTTCTCCCTTCAACTGAATGGGGGAGGGACTTGGCTTTGGTGGTTTTAGTGCCTTGGCCCTTTAAGGAACGATTGAGGAAAAGGGGGAAGGGAAGAACCATCTGCGGCGGGGGAGGAGGTGGGAGGATGAGAGGGGCCCCAGAGATTTAGAAAATGGGTGGGGGTCCTTTAAGGGGTCGGTCCAGTGGCTGCGGGCCGCAACGTTTCTTTTAGTGGGGCGGAGCGTCCGTTGGGCCCGCCTTCTCGTAGCCCCGCCCTTGGGGCGCCGAGCTGGGATCCGCGCGGGGCAGGAGGCGTGGCAAATCGTGAAGGGGCGTGGCATGACATAGAGTGGGCGTGGCAGAGCGAGTCGGGGCGGGGCCGGGCGCACCGCCTTGGGCAGAGTCTCCCCGCGGAGGGCGGCGGGAGGCGGGAGGCGGGCGGCGGGCATCGGGGACCGGGCGCGGCGGCGGCGGCGGCTTCGGCGGCGGGAGCAGCATGGATTGGGGCACCGAGTTGTGGGTGAGTCCGGTCGACCTGACTCCAAGTTCTCCCCTGTTGGAGTGCAGACTTTCCCCCTTTGTCCCCACTGTACCTTAGCGGGGACTCGGCACTTTCCCTTCTACTGACCCCTGGGTCCCCACCCTCTTACCCCGCGTCCTCTCTCAGAGTTTTCAGCGAGTCTCTGGACGCCCAGAGACTAAGGGAGAGTTTGCAGGACTGACTTAGGGAAACTGAGGCACGGGTTGGTTGAGAGTGAGGCGGAAAGAAGTTCTAGGACCAGGCCGGGGCAGCCCGGCGAGGTCACCTATTTTGAGCGCCCTGGTCAGGCCGGCGGCTTATTTTACGGCCCCTGGGTCCCTGCCCGCCGCTCGCCTGTCCGACTGGGAGGGGGAGGGGACCCTCTGGCCATCCTCTTCCCCACGTGGGACCTACTAGTACTGAGCGCCTTTCAGTCGCCTTTAACCTACACCTAGGGGCTTGGAACGCTTCTGGAGGGGGAGGGGGCTGCGAGGCTCAGCCCCTGACCCCTCTTGGCCCTTCCCCAGTTCACACCCGAGGGCGGGGCTGCCCCTCGGCTGCCTCTTATCTCACCCAGGAAGCCCCAGAAATTTCCCCCTCTCCAAGCTGGACCTCAGAGCCCTCCCTTTTCTGGGGGCGGCAGAATCCCTAGGTTCCCGGGTGCAGCAGGGTAGCTAGATCGCCACCTCCTCTCCCACTGTGGGATTATTTTTGGAGGCGTAGTGGAGTTAGTGGGGAAACTGAGTCACTCATCCGAGGACTCCGAATCAGAGAACTTGGTGTCTGCCTGCCCCCTGGCTATTCCGAAGTTCCCCCCCCTCCATTAGCTGCTGCAAACCCTGCCCCTCTGGCCCTGACTCACGCCAGGCCGGCCGGATTTTCCGGTATCTGGGGGGATTAGGGGAGCCCGGGCAGTGGGAGGAGCCTTTCCAAATTTTACACCCCTCTAGGCTGTCGGGAGACCAAGACCCTGTTGTCCTGCAGGGGCCCCAGCCCTGTTCTCTGGCCCTTCCCGGGAAGGGGAGGGGGTTCCCGCCAGCTTCCTGCCTCCTCCTGCGCCACGCCGGGGCGGCGCCGGGAAGCCACTCCTCCTTGGAGCGCAGGGCTTTGAGGCTGCCAGTGCATCTGGTCGGTGGGCCCAACGTGGGGTCCCGAGGTCGTGACCCTGGCCCTCCCCATTCCATGCTCGCCATCAGGATCAGTTTGAGGTGCTGGAGCGCCACACGCAGTGGGGGCTGGACCTGTTGGACAGATACGTGAAGTTCGTGAAAGAACGCACAGAGGTGGAGCAAGCTTATGCTAAGCAGCTGCGGTGAGACCCTAGGCCGATGCGGCGCGGAACTACGGGTGGCCTGAGGCTGGGTGGCTCAGCCTTCCTGCCTCTGTCTTCCTTTAGGAACCTCGTGAAGAAGTATCTGCCCAAGAGACCTGCCAAAGATGACCCTGAATCCAAGTAAGGATGGAGAGGGGGATGACCCCCGCAGTCCTAAATCTGCTCCTCCTAGCCAGCCACCTTGGGTGTGGGGCTCAAGTTCTCTGCTTCTCCTTCTCTCATCTGCTAAGAAGGATGCTCTGGTTCTTGCAAAATGAGTGCCTTTGGGAAAGTGACTTCTCTATGCCTCTGTTTTCCTCATCTGGGAAATGGGACCGGTGACCATGGCCTTGTGTGAAGACAGCTGGGTTAAAGTATTAAAAGTGTCCAGCCCACAGTGGCTGTCAGAACGTGTCTCTTCATTCTGAGTCTCCCATTCCAAAATCTAAAAAACTCTAGAAATCAAACAAGTGTTTTTTTTATGTGTGTTCTGTGGTAACTTGACAGCAATCTCCAACAAAACTGACTTGATGTTGATTCTAGTCTTTTTATCCTATAGTGTGAATATTGTTGTTCTTTATATCCAAGGATTGAAAATGTTCTAGTGATAAAAATTGTCCTTGTACTGAACATACCCAGACTGTTCCCCCTTGTCATCAATTCCTAACAGTACAGTGAACGACTGTGCCCATGGCATCTACATTGTATGAGTTATACCCCTTTACCCAAGTCCCCACGATTCTGAGTTCTAAATCACATCTGAATCAAGGGCTGAGGATAAGGGCTATGGATCAGAACTTATCATTGCTTTGGGGATGAATGTTCGGAGCGTGTCCCTTCTCACCTGGAGACGGGTCCTAGGGCATCCTTCTCCTGGAGAACCTGAATCCCAGCCTCTCCCCGGTCCCAGGTTTAGCCAGCAGCAGTCCTTCGTACAGATTCTCCAGGAGGTGAACGACTTCGCAGGCCAGCGGGAACTGGTGGCTGAGAACCTCAGCGTGCGTGTGTGTCTTGAGCTGGTCAAGTACTCGCAGGAGATGAAGCAGGAGAGGAAGATGGTGAGGGCCCCACTCCCCGGGTCTTGCCGAGGGCACCTGCCGGAACCCTGGTGAGCCTTCTCGCCCTCCTTTCCACAGCACTTCCAGGAAGGACGGCGGGCTCAGCAGCAGCTGGAAAGTGGCTTCAAACAGCTTGAAAATGTGAGTTCCCTGGGTCGTGGGTAGCTCTGGCCTGGGGAGCGGGGCGAGGGTGGCCCATCCCCAGAGCTGCCCCCTCTTTCTGGCCAGGACACCCCTCTCCCAAGAGTTTCCAGCATACCCATGGCCCCCCATCTGCTGGGTGACTTCCCACCAGTCCCTAATGACCTTGGTTTCCCACCTCCCCTACTGGGGATGGCTTCACTCGCTTCTGTCTCCTCCACAGAGTAAACGTAAGTTTGAGCGAGATTGCCGGGAGGCAGAGAAGGCAGCCCAGACCGCTGAGCGCCTAGACCAGGATATCAATGCCACCAAGGCTGATGTGGAGAAGGTGCATGTGGGGCCTCTGACAGTCTGGACGGGTCAGAGTGGGACATGGCCGGAACCTGGCAGTAACCTCTGCCTTGTATCCCTCAGGCCAAACAGCAAGCCCACCTCCGGAGTCATATGGCAGAAGAAAGCAAGAATGAATATGCGGCCCAGTTACAGCGCTTTAACCGAGACCAGGCCCACTTCTATTTTTCACAGATGCCCCAGATATTTGATGTGAGCACTCCTCCGCTTTCAGCCTAACTCTTACACATGTGGCAACACCCCAGTGGCCACGTCCCCGTCCTGGGCTGAAGTAGAATTAGAGACCGGTAGTGACAAGGAGCTGTGCATTCACTCAAGCTTCCTTCCCGGGATGCCTTTCTCTCCTTCTGGAACTCTTACTCGCTCTTCTAAGGCCCCAGCTCTAACAACCTCTAGGTCTCCTCTATTTTCTCTGATTTCAGCCTCCTTTTCCAGTCCCTGTTCCAGCCTGGGTGCTGGGATCATCTGTGCTGCTTCTATTTTTTTCTTCAAAGCCCTGTTCCACTGTCTCCTCTTTTGAGGAGGCTTTTCTGAGTCCCTAGGCAAGGGTCACCTTTGAGACCTGCGGCCCTGTGTTTCAGCCCCACCACACTGGGCAGGGGCTGGTGCTGATGGCCTGAGCGCCATCATGTTTGCAGAGCCCGTCACATCTGAGCCGCCCCCACCCATGCTTCTCATGCCTTTGCCCCGGCCCCACAGAAGCTGCAGGACATGGATGAGCGCAGAGCCACCCGCCTAGGGGCTGGGTATGGGCTGCTATCGGAGGCGGAACTGCAGGTGGTACCCATCATCGCCAAGTGCTTGGAGGGCATGAAGGTGGCTGCCGACGCCGTGGATGCCAAGAATGTGGGTGTCTGTTTGGGCTGAGGAGTGGGCCTGGGGAGGGTCCCCCCAAACTAGGCACTTGGCCTTGCCCCTGACTGTCCACCCACTGCCCCTTCCCCCAGGACTCCCAGGTCCTCATAGAGCTGCATAAGTCAGGTTTCTCCCGCCCTGGCGACGTGGAATTCGAAGACTTCAGCCAGCCCATGAACCGGGCACCCTCCGACAGCAGCCTGGGCACCCCCTCAGATGGACGGCCTGAGCTCCGGGGCCCTGGCCGCAGTCGTGCCAAGCGCTGGCCCTTCGGCAAAAAGAACAAGGTGGGGGCCCGGAATCTTGTGGGAGAGAGCAGTGATGGGGACAGTCGAGGCCCCACTGAGTTGGGCCCAGCCACCGGAACGCTGAGTCCCAGGCAGGAATTTTCCTCTTGGCTGCAGGCCCGGGCTGGAGGGAAGGCGGGCGGGCGGGCGGCCCATTGGCTTGGGAGTCCCCCGAGGCTGAGGGGGGCAGGGTGGGGTCCTGTGGAGTCTGTCTGCTGCTTTTTGGGATGCTGAGAAAAGACCTGCTAATGGAATTTCGTGTGGCCTGATGGCTTGTGAGCCTGTCCTTCAGGAGTGCCTCCATCTGGTCCACCACTCCTTATGCCACTTTCTTTGGGGACTTTTTGGTTTTCAGTGTCAGACGTAGACCTTAACACCCTCGTTTCCACCTCGGACAGCCCTGGCTCCCCAGTGTGCCTTAGACCCCTCCCACTGACACCTGCCATCTTGGCCTTGGGCCCTCTCCTCCCCTGACCTTTCCTGCCTTCCACACCCCTCTCTGAGTGGCGTGCCCCTTTGGCCTGTGTCTGAGCCCTCAATTCCTGCATGTGCCTCCCACACCTTCTAGACTGTGAGTCCAGAAAGCCCCTGGACAGCCGCGGGTCTGCGCTAGCCCCTGGTCCCAAGGGCCAAGGGATGCTGGAGATGGGGTGGGGGGGGCATGACCTCCAGGCCGCAGTCTAACGTCCTCCCTGCCACCTCCTGGATTTTGTGTTGCTCTTGCACGTGTGTTCTGTGTGGTTGTGCATCTCAAGTTGTGATTTTCTTACCGTTATGATTTTTTTTCTTTCTTTCTCCCTTTTGTTTTTCCTTCTCTGCGTCCATCTTTACGTTCATCCGTCCATCCATCCTCGTTCTCTACTCCCGCCTCCTCCTGGCTCCTCCCCTCCCGGCCCCCGCTGGTAGCCACGCCCCCCACCCCTCTCCCCCCTGGGGGGCCCCCTGCCCTCGGCCTTGCCTAACGGACCCCCGTCCCCTCGGTCCGGCCGCGACCCCTTGGCCATACTGAGTGAGATCAGTAAGTCGGTCAAACCGCGGCTAGCATCCTTCCGCAGCCTTCGAGGTGGCCGTGGGGTAAGTGAAGGCTGGGGGAGGAGGGACGGCCCTGGCCCGGCCCGCCCAGCGGCAGGGTGGCGGACCCCGGGCTCGCTTCCCGCGGCCGGCTGGGCCCCTCTCCTGCTTCGCTCTGTGCATGGCCTTGCTCCCAAGAACCTTGGAAGGGGAGGAAGGCAGACTTGAATCCTCAGGAGTGTGCAGCGCCTGGAAGCTTCGACTTCAGAATCCCAGACTCAGGCCTCTCTCCGCCTTGCAGACTGTGGCGTCGGAGGATTTTAGCCACCTGCCCCCAGAGCAGCAGAGAAAGCGGCTCCAGCAGCAGTTGGAAGAACGCAACCGGGAGCTGCAGAAGGAGGTGGATCAGAGGTACAGCCTGGCAGAGCCGGCAGGCAGGGGACAGAACCATGCCAGGGGGTTACATTTAAAGGAATGGTAGAGTGCTTGCCTAGCACAGGGGAAAAACAACCAGAAAATAATTACACTCAGATGCACCCAAAAATCTCCCAGAGACACCAACCAGCAGGGTGGTTTTACAGGTCATTCTTCACACACCCAGAGGAAACTGCTTTCCCTCTCCTGCAAACCTTTCTAGCAAACAGAAAGAGTGAGAGCTGCCAGCTTATTTAGGAGGCTGGGGAAACCTGGGTCCCTAAATCAGTGAGCAAGAACTCAAGCCAATAAAATTACTGGCTCCTTTTACCTCACTTCTGATTTTAGATACAAAATCCTAGCCAAGCAAATCCAATGACATATCACAAAATAATACACCATGTGTGGTGATACTTGGGTATAGGTACCTAATGCCACAGAACTGTACGCCTCAAGGTGACCACAGGAGGAAATTTTATGTTGTCTCCTTTACTATATCAGGAAAAATTTTTTTAAAGAAAAAAAATACACATAATCAGTTGGGCATTATCTCAATAATGCAAAGATGGTTCAATATCAAGAAATCTAGCAGTCTAATCACCACAAAAGGGGAGAAAAGGATATGGCTGTCTATTTAATAATTGAAACACTTTAAATATTAACAATAAAAATTTGCCAGATGAAAAAGAAAATCTTTACTCACTCTTTCCAAGCAGCAAAATCCTCTTCCCAGTCCTGTTACATAACAGGAATGACGTTTGCCACTTGCCAGGAGGCAGCCAAGTTCTAGTTTGCTGTCTGCGAGTAACCTCTCAGACAGATGGCTCTTCCGGGGGTGAAGTTTCATCTGGCACTAGGTGGTTTCAGGGTTTCTATGGTGGAGGGGCAGGTAAAGGGTGCGTGCCTAGAGTCAAGGGAGGCTGCTCGTGAATTCTAGCCGTCCCAGAAGTCTCAGGCAGCTTGCTTCACCTTCTTGCCTCAGTTTCCTCATCTGTGACATGGGTCAGGTAATGACTAGAAGGAAGTTGAGCTGAGACTGCCATATTCCATGAGTGCCCCCACTACCTGGATGTACCCGGAGGTGGGAATGGGAGACTATGATAGTCTCACAGCTAGCAATCATGAACACCTGCTGGGCTCCAGGCACTATTCTGCACCCTCCACATGAACTCCCTGATCTTGACTCTATGTTTCTTTTCTTTCCTGTCCCGTCCTGGAGCTGGCAAGGAAACCCAGGGCCTCACACTTGCCAGGGAAGTGCTCTGACATTGAGCTACAGCCCAGCCCCCTAGAGCTAGAATAATGCCTAGTATATACCAGGTACCCAATGTACATAGGAATAATTGAATTATTGTGGGGGCTTACTGTGTACCAAGTACTGCTCCACTCCTCACACCAGCCCACACACGCTGTTATTCCCATTTTCAAGGTTAAGATCTGCAGACAAGGCTCTGTAGCCTAAGCTCACACCAGCAGGAAATGCCAAACTGAGTCAAACCCAGGCAGTGAGCCCTACTAGCATGGAAGCTCTTTGTTTTGAGACTGGGTTTGGCTATATTGCTCAGGCTGGCCTTGAACTCTTGGGCTCAAGCAATCCTCCTACCTCCTAGCCTCCCGAGTAGGTGGCACCACCGATGCAGGCCACCGTGTCTGGCCCCCACCTTTGAGTTCTAACCAATCTCTTGCTCCTTGCTTCGAGCCCCTGTTCACCTGCGTCTCTTTCCTCCTCTGTCTTGCCCCAGGGAGGCTCTGAAGAAAATGAAGGATGTGTATGAGAAGACACCCCAAATGGGTGACCCTGCCAGCTTGGAGCCCCGGATCACAGAAACCCTGAGCAACATTGAGCGGCTGAAATTGGAAGTGCAAAAGTACGAGGTAAGGGGAAGGCCCTGGGGGAGGGGTGGAGTGGCGGCCAGCCTGGCTGAGTCACTGCCGGGTGGGGGACAGGGATCCAGCTGTTTCTCATCACGGCGTTGGGTGTGCATGGGTGATCTCAGGAAATCTCTGGGTGCAGGATGGGCCGACCTCGGAGCCCTGCCCCGGAGCTGATGTGATCTTGTCCTCCCAGGCTTGGCTGGCAGAAGCCGAGAGCCGGGTCCTAAGCAATCGAGGGGACAGCCTGGGCCGGCACACCCGGCCTCCCGACCCCCCATCCAGTGCCCCCCCAGACAGCAGCAGCAATGGGTCACAGGACAACAAGGAGAGGTGAGCTGGGAGGCCAGGCAGGTGTGACCCAAGAGAGCCACCCGGAGGGCCTGCTTCCATCTGCCTTCTTCTCCCACGCAGCTCTGAAGAGCCCCCCTCAGAAGAGGGCCAGGACACCCCCATCTATACAGAGTTCGATGAGGATTTTGAGGAGCCCACGTCTCCTATAGGCCAGTGTGTGGCCATTTACCACTTTGAAGGTGAGAACGGCCGGGGGGTGGGGGTGGGGGCACATCAGTTGCTCTGGGCGTCTCTGGCTAGGTTGTTCAAGTTCGCCTAAAGCAGAGACCCGGGCCCACCCCACGACAGGGTCCAGCGAGGGCACCATTTCCATGACCGAGGGCGAGGACCTTAGTCTGATGGAAGAGGACAAAGGCGACGGCTGGACACGGGTCAGGCGGAAACAGGGAGGTGAGGGCTATGTGCCCACCTCCTACCTCCGAGTCTCGCTCAACTGAACTTGCCAGAGGCGGGAAGAGGGGGCCTGTCGGCTGCTGCTTCTGGGCCACGGGGAGCCCTAGGACCTATGCACTTTATTTCTGCCCCCGTGGCTTTGGCTGAGACCTGTGTAACCTGCTGCCCCCCATCCCACCTGTCATCCCAACAGACCCGCTGTGCCTTCCAGCGTCGATGTACATACTCATGTTCAAGTCTTCCCGCCACTCGGCTTGGGCCATTTCGTTTTATATAAAAAAAAATTATGTAAAGTTTCTGGAGTCTGTGCCTTGTTAGAGGATTAGATATGGGGCCGGATCCTCCAGTGCCACCCTCCTGGCCACACAAGGAATGAGGAAGGGGAGGTGAACTTGAGCACACCTTTGACAAACCCTGCCCCTTAATGGGAGTTGGCTTTAAGTCAGTGGGTGCTTGTCACTCCAGTAGAGGAAGAAAGATACCAAACTTCATTCCTTCCTGTGCACTGTAGCTTACTGAGAATGGGTAGGGTTTATTGAGTACCTGCTGTGTGCCAGGCACTCTCCACCATGATCTGATCTGAACATTAAGTTTTCATCTCAGCCACAAACCCTAGAAAGCACATGGTTTCACTTTTGTGTTGAAGGTCAGCACAGAGAAGTGAAATGATCTGCTGAAAGTCACACAGCTTTTCAGAAGTACAGTCGAATTTGAACTCCTGATACTAAATCTGCAAGTTCTCTTACCAAGAAAAGCCACATGTTCACCACCGGGCACTGCTTTCTGGGTGTTCCCAACTGTGGGGTGTGTATGTGTGTGGCAGGAGCGTGGCCTCCAGTTTACCTAGGGTGAGGCAGGAGGCTGCTACCCCCCCACCCCCAGGATCCTTGTGCATTTTTGCAAACTTTGATCGCCTCCTTTTGTGAGGCCTGGAGCCAGTTTCCACTGCTCAAGGCTGTGAGGCGCCTGGGGCAACTTTCTTGGTCTCCTTGGAGGTCCCTGGAAGTTTGGGGTCCTGGTGTAAAGAAGGGTGTCTCTTGTCTTAGTGGTCAGGCTCTAGACACTGCGACAGGATGCTAAGCACATGTTGGAACTTCTCCAGGCGTTCTGCTAGGGGCGCACTGGCGCCCCGGCTCCCCCAGAGCAGCCTCCGCATGAAACCAGTGGTCAGGGCCTCCCTCAGATCCGGGTTAGGCTGGAATCCTGGAAAGTGGGTCAGGTGGGCTGGGGGTGGGGCCCGGAAGGCCGCCTCGCCCCTCCCGCACCCCGAATCGTTGTTTTTCACCTTGAGACTTCGGACCAAACAAAAGGACTCTGCCCCAGTATGTGGGGCAACTGGGCGGGGTTAGTAGGGAAGGGGATCCTCTACTTTGCAGGACCGAGGGGTGGCTTTTCAGAGGCTCATTCAGCCAGGGCTCCTGGGGATGGCCTATTTCAAATACAAGATTCAGGGAGCCCCACCTTGGGGCCGCCCCTGAGGCAATTTGAGGTCAGAGCCATCTTGCATTGCAAGCTTGAGGGTAGGTTGGCCACCTTAAGAGAGGGAAGGGCGAAGGTCACCCTTGAAGGCGGGAATGGTCCAGATGAGGAACCCAGGATAGCAGGGAGTGGTGGCTCTGAGCGCAGTGAGCGTTCTACCAGGTGGAAGAACTGAGTCCTTTTGAAGGAAGCTGGGCGTTCTTGGGGGTCGAGAGTCCCCGGAGGCCTGGTAGTCCCAGGTGGGAGACTGGGAATGGGACCCCGTGGGTGTGGCTCGGAGAGGCGGGGCCGCCCCTTTCGGAGCCGAGGCCATTCTTGGCGTTCCCGTCAATACTGGTCAATGGTGTGCAAGCTTGGGGTGCAAACTCCCGCTCCTGTCCTGGGACAGGTGGGGTTGGAGGCATCCAACTGAGACTCTGAGGGGTGTCCCTGATGTCAGGACCCCTGGCGGCCAGGCGCAGAGCGAGCACTCACCTCGCAGGCGCTGGGCAGCCGCCTTGCGGAACTTGGGCGCGTCGCCGGCCATCTGACGCGCGCCGTGCAGGGTCCGCAGCAGCCGCTCGCAGCCCTCCTCCAGCGGCCCCGCAAGCTCCTCGCCCTCCAGCAGGCGCACCGCGGGCGCCCAGTGCGGCAGCGCCACCTCGCCGGGGTCGCAGGGTCCTATGGAGGGGAAGGGTCTGATCTGGGTTTGGGCGGTGTGTGGGTTTAGGGTTGGGTGGAGCCTAGGAAAGAAGCCAGAGCTGGGCTTTACGGGGCTTTACGGAGCCCGACTGGGTCAAGGGCGTGGTCGAGGGCAAGGCGGGGCTTAGGACAGGGCCGAGGCTATGGGCCCGGGACCGAGCCTAGTGTGGAAGGCGGGGCCGATGGTGAGGGGGACCGGGTCTAGGACCGAAATAGAATGCAACACGGGACCAAGATGGGATCCAAGACAGGACAAGGCTTGGGGACAGACACATAGAATTGAACCTAGCACTCCACACTTGGGGCAGGGGCGGGGCTTAGGGCCGAAGCCCCAATGAGGCGGGGCCTAAGATAAGGCTAGGACCCAGTCTCGCCCAGGGGGCGGGGTCTAGGACACAGGGGAGGAGTCTAGGGTAGGGGCGGGGCCTAGGGCTGAGCTGAGGTTCCAGTTAAAGTTGGTCCCCAGCTCCGCGCGACGACTAATCCCAGACAGTCACTTACCCGTTCCCTCATCCAGCGCCCGCATCAGCGGCTTCAGCTCCTGCTCGAAGGCCAGCGCAATCTCTGTGTGGCTCCGTCGGAGGTGGCGCCACGTATGTTCCAGCCGGGACACCTAAGCAAAGAGACCCGAGCCTGCCTCCTCTCCCGTTTCATTACCTGCGCTACAGCTACCTCCTCATCCGTTTCCCACACACCTGTGGCATGAGAAGGGCTCCCATGACCGCAGCCAGCCCGGGCAGGTCCCCTGCTGCCCCTGGCCGCAACGCCAATGCCAGTTCCACCAGGCCTCTCAGTGCGGCTGCGCGCTCCTCCAGCGGTCCAGAGCAGCCCAGCACCGCCAGCGCCCCCGCCAGGGCCAGTGTCTCTAGCCTGCGGAGGCAGAGAACAAGGGTCTGGGGGCAGTAGGGAGGTTTGTAATGCGTGGGAGAGTGGGATTGGAGGTGGCACTGCCCACCTGTTCCCCCCTGGGAGGCCGTGAATAGGGAAATGTTTGGAGAGCCTGGGAAACGCTCCCCTCAGCAAGTGCAGGGCACCTCCCCCGTACCCACTTCCCCTCCAGGAGCAAGGTTCCAGGTCGATGAATCACCTCTCCAGCAGTTCCAGCCTCAAGCGATGCCCATGGGGAAGCGTGAGCAGTTCCAGGCCCGAAGCGACGCCCATGGCAGCTCGCTGAAATTTGGTCACTCCTAGGAGGCCCGCAGCCTTCGGGAGGGAATTGGGAGGTCAGGTCCATGAAGCTAGTATAGGTGCGATTGGGCCCTGCCTGGCTTCAGCCCGCCCCGGCGGGGGGGGGGGGGGGGGGTGCAGGTGATTCACCTGGCAGTCCACCAATAGCAAGTGGAGGGCGGTGCTCTCAGGATGGTGATCCAGGAACAAACCACGGAGAATACACAAGACGTTGGGGTCCAGGGGCCGATTCTGGGGACCCAGCAGGCAAGATCGGGTATCAGGGGGGCAAAAGGAGACCTCGTTCTGTGGTCTTGCAAAACATTTGTCCTCCTTCACCATTTCCTCCTCCTCCTCCGCCTCCCACCATGGTGACTCTGGCTCCAAACAGCTTTGGCCAGGAGGCATTCTCTGGGCACTGGGCACGCGGGGCACCAGCTCACAGTAGGTCGAGGGTCTTCCAGAGGCATCAGTAAGCGCCAGTGAGGGTGTCCGGAGGGGCTTGGTTGGTGCCTTAGCATGAAGTTGGCCATCGGAGGCTCTGAGATTGTCAGCAATAGTCCCCAGGGGAGCGGGGGCCTTGGGCAACACGGGGTCACTGCCTGTCCGGAGCAGGGCAGATATCGGCATAGTAGAGGTTCCTGGGGATCATACAAGAGGGGATGATGGGAGTGCACTGAGAGAATAGCTGGTAAGGTGGGGGCAGGTGGGAGATTCATGATTTCCTTCTGATTCATCTGCTCATTCAGTGGATAACACAGTATCCCAGCCTGACTTGGGGTGCAGTTTTGTACCTTAACAACTTCTCCAGTATAAAGGCCACCCACACTTACCAATAGTTTGAAAACTACATTTAACTTTTTCATTTCTCTTTTTTTTTGGGGGGGGGGGGGGGGGGGAGGGCCCTGGGAATGGAACCCAGGGCCTCACGTGTACTGGGCAAATGTCTACCACTGAACCATACCCAAGCCCCCACATTTTAAATCTGAGTTTTTCATTTTTGCCCTTGTGATTGAAGATGGTAAGCATGGACTGAACAAAATGAAAAATAAAAATATATTATTCAAAATTCAAAAAACTACACAAGTGTCAAAAAATGAACTTATTAAACTTCCAAATGATGCCTTGTGAGTTTGTGGCATGTTGACCTCTGGGGTTATTAGTACTTAAAATGATACCAAGAATTTTAGGAGACTGCATTTTCCAAGCATTTTAAAATGCTTTGTTCTAGGGGGCTCCAAGCCTCCCCAAGGGTCCCAGCTCACTCCAGGAGTCAAAGTTCTGATACAGTGGCTGAGGAAGTCCTCATCATCTCAACCCCAAGATCTCTCTGACCTTTCCCTATTCCTACTGTTCAGCTCACTCATCTCCTTTGTTTGAAGGAACAGTTCAAGCTCTTGTTCTGACCTCAGGGCCTTTGCATGGCCTATTTCTCTGTCTGGGTCACTTTCAACCCCAGTCATCCACACTTTTCCTTCCTGTCCTGTCCCTCAAATCTTTCTCAGTGGAGCCTTTCCTGACAATTACTTAAAGGTGCAAAATCTACCTCCATCCCTACACATCCAATTACCCTTACTACTTTTAATTTTTATCCCAAAGCATACACAGTGGACTTATCTTTGTGGTTCATGGTCCATTGTTCTCTAACAGAACATGGACCCTCTTGGGTGGTAATCTTGGGATTTTTTACTCATTGATGTACCTTAGCACTCAGGGCAGAGCCTGGCATATGGTGAGGGCTCATGTTGAATATGGGGGGAGGAAACAGGACAAACAGGAAATGAGGGGTCATGAGGGCAAGCCCTCCTTTAGATAAGATGGTCATGGTCAGCCACTTTGAGGCACTGGGGTTGAATGAGAAGGGGCCAGTCAAAAAAAGGTTAGGGAAATAGGAATGATCCTGTCAATGGTGAGAACAGCAAGTACAAAGGTCCTGAAGCCATAACTAGCCTGGGAGGTTCCAGGA